TAATGCCTCGCCTTTCCAAAAACTTGAACGATGAGGTTTTCGATCTTGGTTTTTATCAGTTCCCAGTCCTGTTAATTACACAAGTAACGTCGGTGGAGGTTAAATGGAGAAAGTTTCGGCTCAAATTAGGAATAGGGAGCGTGTGGTGAGAGGGTTAAGGGTCAGACGAGTGTGTACAAAAGTAGATCACTGGTGCTCCGAAGTTTTTCCATTTCGCCTGCACGTCTTAGATCGATGAGTACTTTCCGAAAAACTGCTGTGGCGAAGAAAAAAAAACCAATATTTAGTACTTCCACAATAGATAACTCTAAAAATAAAATTATTTTGACTATCTATCAACACTACAGTAAAAGATTTTACAGCTAAAGATAATTATACACTTTTGATAATACTAGGATAAGTTTTATTTGATACCTTAATGCCTTTAATATTTTGAAAACTTCAATTTTTGAATTAATTTATATTTTGTACTTAATAAAGTTTAAAAATAACATATCTATTTAATTAGAGATTCTGTCCTCTCTTCACACGTATAATTATTACCAAAAAGAAAATCTGAGTTTAACGAGAGCATTTCAGAAAAATGAATTGTCATATTTATATTAATTATCTTATATTAATTTTTAAATTATTATAAATACTTATAGATAAATGGGATAAAATTGCGAGGCAATTTTTATAAAGTAACACAATAACAGTAATATAACAAAATATCCTCCCTTAATATTTATATACTTTTAATAATGATAATAAATAAAATATATCAAACGTACGGCTGTGATTCACACCCAGTTATCAAGGCTGTCATCCAAAACGAGTCAAACCAGCCGCCTTAAGGTAATCATAACGCTAGTAACAAACAACTAACTTTTTTTCAATTTATGTGCCTTAAGAAAATATGCCTTGGGGGACATATATTCAGGCCACAAACTGTGCCCTTATGAGTATTACATGAATATGTCCCGAATATAATCCGTCTTTCTTTACGGTATGCAGGAATTCGTCAAATGTTTTTACAAAATTGGGCGTACTTCAGCGGCCCATATTAATCTTTACTGCTAAAGTGCATCCATTTTGGATTTTCTGACCCATGTAGATGAAAGAAATTATAAAAACGCTATAATTTTGGCAGACATTCTCAACATGCCTATTGCGGTTAAAAAACGACACACACAATGCTTTTGATCCTGACCGTAGGTCGCCAACAGTACAGTGAGATCTCTGGCAATGACAAGTTCTTTTCCATTACATACAATGCTATAATTTTGGCCATCGGTAACTTGGCATTCTCATCCGGTTTTCAAATATACAAACACTGTCGGGGTCCAGAATGGAAGGCGAAACAGCTTTTCAACACTGCCATACTGTTTATCATAACAGTGCCTGATAACTGGACTTAAACGGTTTCGTTTAGCGGAAAATGCGGTCGAGCTTCCTTCAAAACGTTCCTTCCTAATGGTATATATATATATATATATATATATATATACCATATATTATACATTGTTTTGCTTGGATATTTTTCCGACAAGATGCCTTATTAAACTTAAAACTTTTTTTTTATATCTCAACCTTTTGAATATCTCAAACTAAAGAGGACGCTAACAAATTTCTTAATCTATTTTCACATATGTATCAATGAAACAAAGGATATGTTTTTTATCTTTCAAATAATGAAAAAGAAGTTAGTGTAAAGTGTAAATGATTAGCCCTACTTTAAATAAAGACGAACTCTATAGAACAGTTCTAGTTTAAACATTTTTTATTTTGTTTTAAGCAGACATGTTTGGCAATTACAATCTAAAATATTTATACATGGAGGATATAGAAAAAGTTCAGAAATATTTTATTAAGAAGCTTCTCTACCTTCCAGGTAGCACCCCAGACTACATGATATTATATTGAGAGCTTGGTCACGCCACTCTACGGCTATACTCTCAGCCTGCAACTGAAATATATTAGAAAAGTACTGAACCACACACGTGACAGACTGACGCGGTTTTTGGACGACGTTTTAATAAATAAAGGCATATCGTGGCATAAGCAGTAGTCAGAGTTAATCTAAAGTAACTGTATGTACTCTTGTGTAAATAAAGCATTTATTCAAAATCTAAAATACATCCCCGATATATTAAAAAATTCAATTCAGACGTACTTACAATACTAAATATCTTCCTGTGGTATTGTCGATAGTGTTATAAATATTTGAAGTGCAGATTCCATCCTTACTAAGTTAGCGTTACGAAATTAATTGCCATCTTCCGTAGGAAAAGCTGTTTAAGTTGTAAAAGTTTGGCTGTACCAACTTAGTTTCGATAAGTTTATTACGGAACGGAAATTCTTTTCACTTAAACAGGAGTGAAGTACACAGTTTCAATATTGGCTCTTTCCTCCAATCGACTATCAATCACAAGGGAACAATCAAAATTCCAGAAGGTCCTTTTTTCGCTTGTCCTATGTCTCCGTATCTTCGTAATTGCATTGCCATTACGAAACTGCGCTTCTATTATTCACAAAAAAATGTTCTTGGACTCGATAAAACATTAAACGCTGTACCGCCAGCTCATAAGGAGATTTTATCGCCATAAACTTTATAGGGTTTATAGTTACATTCGAATAAGGAACCATATAATTATAATTGTTCAATTTTGAAATGAATTTATTGTAGATAAATAAATTTTATTATTCATTATTTTAAAAAATTTCATACGAATAAGTGCCGATTATTATTTAAGCAAAAAGGAAAGCCCCTGATGGGAAAAACTACTTCAATTTTAAAATTGACGAGTGAACTGATCTCCTGTCAAATTTGACTCATTTTAAGGAACTTAGCTCATTTGGTATTTTAAATTAAATTGTGTGCCAGCAAACAAATGGATTCAAAACAAACATCCCTTGGATGAAAGTATGGCCTTGAAGAAGAAACAAATTCAGTTGTTACTGCCTTTCGACCTATTGGTCATCATCAGTGCAAAATAATCTTAAATATGTCTACAGTTTGACATATTTAAGATTTTTACAGGCAAATTGGATAGGAACTAAACGATTCGTGCATACAACCTTAATTATCACAATCAGACACCCATTCATAGAAATGGAGACTTTATGTTCCCGGAAACATTCTTTACAACATCCTATAAAGTCTCAACGGACTTTAAAGGAGAGGAAGAACACAGGAGAGCGTCAGATACAATAATATGGTATACAGATGGCTCCAAAACAAATGAAGGAACCGGATCGGGCATTTTCTGTACAAGCCCAAAACATTAGGGAAGTACACTTCGGTCTTTCAAGTAGAAATACATGCCGTCAACGCTTGTGCCCTAGAAAAAGAGGTTACACTCGCCAAAAAATCCCATAAGATCTGATAGCCAAGCAGCCATTAAAGCATTACCATGTAAAAACATCACATGAAAATTAGTCAGTGAATACATCTAAAATTTCCAAAACGTGGGGAAACACAACAATTTGATGATATCTTGGGTGCCAGGGGACCTAGGAATTTTAGGTAATGAGAAAGCAGACAGACTGGCCAGAGAAGGATCTGCAAGACCATAGGCCCCGAACCTATACTTGGGATAACAAAAAAATATACAATCATCCATCGCAGAATGGATCCAAAACAAAGAATGGATAAACTCTAGCAGCGCTAGACACAGTAAACCTATAATGAAACAACCCTCAAGACTGGCAAACCCATTGCTACAATTGGAGAGGGCTAGACTCAAAGGAGAGGTTGGACTACTAACCGGTCACTGGCATCTGTGAAAATGTCTACACAAAATGGGTATATACTGCAGATTATGTAATGAAGGGGAGGAAACAGCCACCCATATTATCTTCGAATGCGAAGCAACAGCTCAATGGAGATTTAACCTAACGTACGAAAAAATCTAGGAAATGAAATTGTAGCAGCGACAGTCAGTGACCTGATACTTCTAAGAAGACATCTAATGCACTGAACTAGGGAAATAGGAAGGTACAATATAGAAGGCTAGAAGGCTGCTGTGCCTGGGGAGCGCAAACCCGCTTCCTAGTATCCTCATTACCTTCCGTACCATCTGAATCCGACTGAATCCCAAAGCTGCCAAGGCGTGACTGCTTCTCTGACCTTATGCCTGATACCTAAGCAAGGATAATGTTATTGTTTTCCTTAATGTCTGACAGCGCCTTGATGATCACAAACGGCTTTGAACTTGACTACTGATGAGGCAATTCATTTGTACTAGCTGTCCGAGTAGATGTACATACTTTTGTAAGTAATACCCTGCCTTTTCATCTTCCTGGCAAAGCATACTTTAGTCAATCTCGTAACCACAGCCGTATAAGCTGTCTGTGTATTTATATATATATATATATATATATATATATATATGGCTGTGGTTTAAGTATATGTTCTGCTCCTTACTCGGTCATAGATCCATGTATGCACAACGCTCATTTGCAATATGTACAACTAATGTTATATAAACATAACTAGATATTGAATGTATACATATTCTCCCAGTCTAAGTAATTAAACGTTCCACCAATCTCAAAGAACTTACCTACCTAAATGAAACTGTATTTCTTTCATACCAAATTGATTTCTTCCATAAAATTGAACTTTTTCACAATAAAATATATGCTTAAATCTTAACAAAAAAAATTAATTCAATAAGACAATTTTGCTAATATGTGAAAAACAGGGGTGACGTATACAATAATACATTGTCGTAACAGAAATCTTTACATTCTGTTTAATCATTATTATTGTTTATGAGGCATTAAAAGTATTACTAAATAATCGTCTTGTGTTTGTTGTCGTTAAAATTACAGTAAATCTATATAAAACACACAAAACAATATTATTTTATGGTTGTATTCATGTATCTTTCTTTTTCCTCTATGCTGAACATTTAAAGTAACCAATTCCATCTATCAATCAAGTAAACTATTTCAGGCGAGTTGTTCTCAAGGACTTTCAACATTTTAAATATTTGTTAATTTTATTGTTCTAGTTCCGCCTGAGATTCTTGACCGGGGTTCCAGTTCGGATGTTGCAGTCGACGAGGGCGGAAACGTAACTTTATATTGCCAAGCCAAGGGGCACCCGATGCCAAAAATCCAATGGAGGAGAGAAGATAACAATTTCATCCCAAATACTTCTGGTATGGTATGAATTTCTGTTTGCATAATTTGAATTATAACAAAGGATTGCGTTGAGAGTTCGTTAATTAAATATTATGTGTTCGGAGTAAACAAGAAATATCTCATGAAATACACGAGGATAAGTTAAAAAAAACAAGTCCGATACAAAAAATTTCTTGGTTATTAATTTAACCATGCCAATGTGATAAAACAATAGCTAATTGAAGAAAAATTATTTGTTATTAATTTATCATTGTTATTAATTAGAAAATTCAATATACGTGAATGAAATCGAAAAAAAATATAAAAAGAATGAAAATCTACTGGAGTTTCCAGTTTAACAAACTTAACATTTTTCCCTCGTATAAAATTCAATTAGAAATCAGAATGCTTATTAAACTAAGTTAGTTCATTCATTTTCATTGCAATATGTTTCTCTGCGTTCAGAAATAATTCAGCCGCGTATGTAAATTTTGTAAGAGCCTAAACGACGTCTTATTTTTGAAGTGGTAAATGTTTACGAATTGGAAGAATGGTTTGTTCTATACAACAACGTTTTGTGTAGAAGTTCAGCACAATTGAATCACGTGAACCCTCCTCTAGCTATAGCTTTTCAACAAAAAGTGCTTCCCTGATCGATATATAAACAATTGAATTCCAACTATAAGTCTCACCTAAAAGGAAAACTTTTCACTTCTTTTCAATTGTATTTACATTGAGCAAATCGAAAAGGAAAATTATTACCGTGGCCTAATAGCTCCTTCCGCTTAATAAAAGTTTTATCAGAATCCTATACTTTCGGATTCCCGAGCTTTCCCTTTATTTCGAGGTAGTAGAGAAAGAAGAAACTTATCAGTTTAAAACGCCCTTATTTTTGTTTTTACGGTATTTTACTTTTTCTTTTTTTCCTCCCCAGTGTATGTAATGGCATTTAACGGCAAATTGATTAAATTTTTTTTGTTCCATGTTATTCTACAAATTTATATCGAAACTGCTTAAATCATCCAATATTTCACTAATCGTAAGAGCTTTCAATATTCTTAGTTTGCTTTTACCAATGAACAATTTTCATGTTCTTATAAGTCGTACCTTATTCTTTCTTAAGATTATATTTCTTGTTGTACTTGTTGACTTCGTTACTCATTTTTCCCAGCCTTTGTAACCATATTTTCGACTAAAGTTAATATTGGTAACCTATTTAGATTTCCCTTAAAGTTCTAAAGGGCCAATTAAAGGGTAATTCGATTCAAGAACTTCTACTTTGACTGAAGGACAAAGAGTAAGACTTTATTTTACAGAAAGAAAAAAATTGTTGCATTTTAACACGCAAAAATGTAAACTGGGGGGGGGGGTTGTTTTAAAATAATACGATATCCGTACATTCATTGTAAAACTGTTAAATTTAATTCAGGGAATTAATCGGTACTTAATATAATTATTTTCTTAATTAACTAAAAACCCAAGCAAAATCCACAGAGCTCGCTACCCACCATTTTGAACCCAAACACAATTTCGACTTCAACAATCTAAAACTATTACACATAGAACAAAACAAACATAAAAGTAACTTTTTAGAAACGGTTTCCATCAACAGAGATAAACACAGCATAAATTTCAGAACAGAACATATACACTCAGTCGCAGCTACGCCAATATTATTAATCAAATTCAATATCGATAACATACATATATCATCATTACACCACACAAAACATATAACACACAAAACATTCATCACATTCCACACATCAAACATTTCTACATAGTCTAATTTTTCAACATTTTAGCTTTCCTTTCCCTAATTATCCCCGTCTATGTAATCCTGAAAGGATAATCTGGCCGAACCATTACAAACGTTTTTTCCCATCGTCGGCTATTCACCTGAAAGAAGCCGTCTCCTAAGACAAAAACGTCTTTCTATTCAAATTTCTTCTAGTCAAATTCCTTCCCCACCCCATCAAAATCCAACGTATATAAACATAAAACAGCAATATCTCTCTGGCACTCTCAACACGACACACAAGAATGGCACAATTACGCAGAAAACAAACACTGAGTGAGTAGAAATATTTTGATTGAATATAAAAAATATTTTTTTGCGTTATATATAAATTCACTTTTTTCCACATCCTACATGTATTTGTTAAATGTAAACAATGTTTGTAAATCCCAGGCCCTGAAGATGGTCTCAATAAAGATCGAAACGTTGGCACGATAAAGAAAATGTTTTTTTGAAACCTACGTCACACCAGACCGTATCTCACAAATTCTGAATAATCATCGACTAACGGTCACTAATCACCACACTCTTAATTAATTAACTTGTTACAATTTATTCATCTAAGTTTATTTTAAACTTTTCTAATCTTGCTTGGTTTATAACGTTCGTTGTACGTAAGTGCATTTTTTCTATTTTTACCATTAATGGAATTCTCTGACAATTGAATGTAAACGGTGTAAAATGTAAATCCAAGAAAAGGGAAGAATAAAACTCCGATACACTCTCTAACAGACTCTCACAACACTCCTCTTCTCATTACTCACACCGCGGTGGAAGTAATGCCGCTGGAGCCGGGAAAAGCACCGGTGTACTACAAACTACAGAAAGGGGATACAATAGATCTTAAATAAAGAGCCGAGAATAAACAAGCGCAAGCATCCACAATCGCAATCTCTAGAAGGAAATTGAGTACATCTAAACCACTGTAACTTCAATGTTTAACTGAGTGATCACATTAACATCCGTGATAACGTGTGTGGTGTTTAGTGACCGTTAGCCAATGATTATTTATAGATCGTGAGATGCGATCTGGTGTCACGTAGGTTTCAGAAAAACATTTTATCACGCCAACGTTTCGATCTTCATTGAGATCATCCTCAGGGCCTCGGATTTATATACATTGTTTTAATTTTTCAAATATATATAGGATGTTGAAAGAAAATGTATTTATACAGTGCTAGAAATTTTAAATTCAATCAGAGTATTTGTACTCACTCAAAGTGCTTGTTTTCGGTGTAAATGTGCCATTCTTGTGTGTCGTGTTGAGAGTGCCAGTGAGATATTGATGTTTTATGTTTATATACGTTGGATTTTGAAGGGGTGGGGAAGGAAGTCGGGATAGAAAGACATTTTTATATGAGGAGACAATGGGAAAAAACGTGGGTAATGGTTCGGCCTGATTATCCTTTCAGGATTATGTAGAAGGGGATAATTAGGGAAAGGAAAGCCAAATAGTTGAAGAATTAGACTGAATTTAATTAGATCAATGTTTGATGTGTGGAATGTGATGATTGTTTTCTATGTTACATTATCCGTTTTATGTGATGTGATGATGTTATATGTATGTTATCGATATTGAATTTGATTAATGATATTGGCTGTGACTGAGTTTACATGTGTCTGTTTTGTAATTAATGCTGAGTTTATCCCTGCTGATGTAAACCATTTCTAAAAAGTTACGTTTATGTTTGTTTTGTTCTAAGTGTAATATTTTTGGATTGTTGAAGTCGAAATTGTGTTTGTGTTCAAAATGCTGGGTAGCCACTGCTGTAGGATTTTGTTTTGGTTTTTTGCAATCATAGATATGTTGCTTTATTCCCTTATCCAGATATTGTAATACCGATGTAAGTTGCCGGAGTATTTAAACAATTGATTTTGTAAATGACGTCAGATTTATTTGTTATTGGTGTGGGATCTTTAATTTTGGAAAAAAGTGTGTGAATTGTTTTATAGTTTTTGAAAGCTATTTTAAAGTTGGCAGAAGAGAGAAGTGTGTTTAATTTATGTGATAGGCCGTGAATGAAGGGCATGAAAATGTATGCTGGTTCGTCTGTATTTGAGAGATTTGATGTTGTATTATTATTTATTAGTAATAGTGGATGGTGTTAGTGTCGAGTTGAGGTTGTCGATTATTCTGTTGATTATGTGTTTAGGGTAGTGATTGTTATGGAGGATTTATTTGTACATCTTTATGTTCTTGTGGTGAAATGATTCATGGCTTAGAATAATAATTCTGTGAAGTAGCTCCTTGGCCGTGTTTATTATTGTATGAAGAGGATGGTGTAAAGTTGAGGTAGCGATCTGTGTTTCTTGGTTTTTGATACCAATCTGTGATTAATGTGCCATCGGGTTGTTTTATTACGAGTGTATCTAAAAATGGTATTGTTTTGTTGTTTTCGATTTCATGTGTAAATTGTAGGCGTGGGTGAAAGCTATTAAATGTATCTAATGAAGTTTGAATTTGATCTGTGGGGACTGCTGTCAATATATCATCTACGTATTTAGTGAGGAAGGGTAATGCGAAAGGAAGTTGTGGTATGACTGTATTTAATAGATGTGTCATAAATATGTTTGCAAGTATCGGGCCTAGGTTGCTACCCATGGCTATGCCAAATAGTTGTTTGTAAAATTGATTGTAGAATATTCGTTAATACAGCAGAGTCGAACCATTGTTATGAACGTGTTTTTTGACTTGTCTGTGGAATGAACAATGTGTGATGAACAATGATGAAACTTCTGAGATATGAGAGAGTAGTGTGAGAGGATGTGAATATTATTAATTTTGTAATGAAATGAAATGAACCTTTTACGTTACATGTGTTATCTGTAATGTTGTTGCGTTTTAACTCTAAAATTTAAGTCCAATGTTACAAAATAAAGAGGTAAACTCTTTCTGTCATTTCATCCTTCATTATCGATGATCATAAATAATATCTTTACTCAATTTACAGCAAACTCTCTTTCAGGCAGCAATAACGATGATTTTTAAATTTGCATGAAACACTCTTGTTTTTACATATAGTTTTTTTTTACTTTTTTCTGCCGTTTCACTGAACGATTTTGGTTGTTTTGAAAAGAGGTTCATCAGCGTAATGTTAATTAAGAGTGTTGGAAGAATACAATGCGTGTTTTTTAACTACTCCGAACCGAAATAGCCTGCAGCCTAGTTGAAGAGTGCTGAGCCAGCAACGGAGTGAGAAGTTGGCTCAGCCTTTCTACTAAACAGAATTAGTCTAGCTT